AGTACAAAGATTGATGTTTTCATCTTTAAAAAGGAATTGAAGGGGACCAGCCAAGGACCTCGAACCTGCTGCTGGGTTGCTGCCCTCCAACTACCTCCTCCACGTCTCCTGGTGTCCTGGTAGCGCCTCGAGCCTCTGGACACTACGCTCACAGTCACAGCAGACCTTCTTGCCACATCCCAAATGAGCAGCACTACCTGAGCCACATGTGGTGGTCATAGAGTCTACTACTAGGAGAATGAAAGGACTGCAATATTCAAAGTTACCAAATATTCAGCCAGAAGGCACAGGTACTGAGGACGGATCTGTGGTCCCCACCTGCAGAACCTCTGCTTTACTGAGTGGATCTTATTAAATGACAATAATTTCCACCTGTTATATATTCCATTTGAACAAAAGAAGGTGAAACTGATGGGCAATCAGTGTGTCTTCCTAAGTGGACAGTTTGATTAGATTTTTTTTCTTTCCAGTATATATTATATTACAGGCATCACATGACCCAGTTTTGTTTCAGATTGGTTTGTGTCTTTTAAGTCTTAAACCTGTGAGTGCAGTCTCTATGGCCACCAAATGTCAAAATGGACACATTCTTGAGGGTTGAAAACACAAAGACTATTACCTGAGGGAACAAATGAATTTGATTTTAACTTCTCATCAGGAGTCTGCAAGTGTTAAATTGTAGTCCAGATTGTCAGAGATGCCTGTGTCAATCACACATTGTAACAGCCTCTGTTATCTACTGTACTCTCACAATGACACACCCTCTAATCCAATCCTCTGTGTTGCAGAAACAATGGCTGAATCCATAAGCCTCAAACCAAAAGACAAACAAAGATTTGTCTGTCTCTCTCTCTCTCTCCCTTCTCCAAATGCAGGAAAGAAAAATGACACAAAGGAAGCACTGAGCACAACATGAATGCAGCCACTACAGCCGCAATCCCACTATGGAAGGCCCACTCTGTTAATGACAACCAATTTGTTTTCTCTTTTATTGCATATAGTTATTATATGCCATGCTCTCTGTCATTGGGTCAGTTTCTACATTTGCTGCAGTTTTCAGTGAGATTTTCCCACAAAATAAACCCACACAACTATTTAAAAGCAAGAAATGTAAATTTCCATTTGTTCATACAATATAAAACACAAACATATATCAACAAAATGTATTTTATTTGCTGAGGCATAGATGTCTGCTAAATGACTAAGTTCCACTTTGATAATATTGTTTTTTCTCTGAAGATAAAACTAATAAAATAAGCCAGTATTCTCAGGTTATTTCTGCACAAACACAAATTACACAAACACATTTTATCATGATTCAAACAGCCTAACACATAATACCCAGTGGGTATTTCTTCTGACTTGGGATGGACGTCCATGTTGCCTAAATAGATCTGCGCTCTGGTGCAACCGAACTGAAAAAGATTCCTGGATAGGTGAGGAAACATTGTCAGAAAAACTGAATGAATGTCTAGTTACCTCCGATTTAGGCCTGTTTTGTGGGTACTGTGATCAAACAGATGCATTTAATCTGTGCTTTTATTTAACACACTGCTTCACATATTACTAATTTTCTCAGAAGTTTAGTCTTTCAATAGATGCAAAGCTCAGAGACTATTTTTGTTCTGCATTTTTTGGTAACTTAAGAAGCAAAATTACTCAGAGAATCCCCCCACAGATTGCTTCTAACCCTGAAAGACTTAGAAGCCCTCCACGTTTAGATCTTTATGACTGGAGAAACCACTATTAAGATAAAACACTTTTTATAACACTTGTTGCGTCCATGGTCGCTGATGTTACCAGACATGTAACCAGTTATATGATTATTTTATGTGTAACATGATCATGAAGTGGGGGTGGTGGTTAAGCTTTGCTCTACGACGGCGTTAAATTTCAAACCACATCAAGAAATCTTTAAATAAAACTACAAATTCAAAATCATAGCAAAAAAAAGCCAAATGTTGCCTTCATCCAATCAGTAAAGTTCAAGTTTCCCCACTAATAACTCCCTCTTCCAGAAGGTTGATGTCATTTTGACTCTGAAAATGTTGCATTTTTTTTAGTTGCAGTTAAAGATTTGTTGATGTGGTTTGCACTTCAGGGCCACCGTAGTGCAAACATACTATATAACATCCTGACTTGCATCCTATTATTGTACTCTGTTGTGGTAAGAGAAAAGTGAATGCCTATATTTCAGTTTTCAGATGTTACATCTAACTCTACTGCTTTACAATCTACAGCTCCAAAGTAATATGCTATGAGATCCCAAAACACAGAGAAGAATCAGTTTTTGGCAATGTAATTTCCAGTTGGTTTTTGGTGATAAACCTGGAGGTTACTGCCCCCTTGTGGCTAAAAGTTAGTATTGCTTTAAGGACCACAAATCTGTTTCTGCAATCATGTTTATTGCATTCAAGTTTTTCAGATTGTTCTTTTACCCATCTGTTGATGATTATCTTTAACTTGTTTCTATTTTAACCTGAATATGCTTTTCTTATTAATAGTAGGAATGTATTTTTCCATCTTGGAAATAAGTTTCTTTTGTGTCCTGCTGTATCGCTTAATTTTATTATTTTCATATTATCTTATCTTATTTAAGCTTTATATGTTCTGTGTACTTATTTTGAGAAAGGTGACAAAATAACTTCCCCTCATAATTTAATTAATTCATTTATTTTACAGGGATAGTGTACATTAATCAGAATTGCTGCAAAAGCACCAGAATTAGCTTAGAGGAATTTTTTGTTTATCTGTTGTTTCTAGACAGACATAAAAACACAACAGGGATAATTTTACAGTAAACCATGCAAATATAAAAAAAAGAAATAAAACAACTTTTCAAATCTTGTTGACAAATACAGTGTTGACAATACAGTGTAAAGTTTGATAGAAAACAGATTTTTTTATATATGTAAATATTTATTTCACTCCTAAGCTGCTCATTCACTGTTTGAAAAGCTGTATAAAATGTCTTATTGTAAACACTGTGTGGTTAAACAATGACAATAAGGTTTGTCTAAAATAAAGTAACACCTTGATACTATCGCTGAAGTATAAGTAATATTATTTAGTCTGACATGTACTCTGTGGTACCTGAAGATCAGAATGTGGGCTTTCTGTATGGAAGTGAATCTCTGAGTACCTGGAACCAAACACCTGTAGTTTTGTCCATGTAAGGTTTATCCAAAGGAAAAATGCTCAATAGTGGTTGTGAAGAGCCGAAGAGGCGCCCCCCCAGAGCACTGAGTCCAGCACCGGGAGACCCAAAGCCCCAGAAGCCCAAAGGGACCCCAAGAGCAAAGGCATCAAGGAGGGGCCAGCCCAGGAAATCCGACCCCCACCAAGGGAAGAGGAGAGACAGCCCCGAGGGCCAGAGTCAATCACGCCATCCCACCCTAGTGCCCCCACTCACATCACAGAAGAAAAAAAAAGAAAAAATGCTCTGTGTTCCTGATCTCTAGAAATGCGGAACAATAAAGATCGTTATTATTTTGTCTTGTCTTGAAATGAGTTTATTAGGGGAACAAACTATTACACAGCAAATTATTTTTTTTCATAACTGGGAATTTCTAATTTGGTACTTTTGTTAGAAGTAAAAATATGTGTATATGTTGTATATATGTTATTTTGTAATAACATATTCAGTGGTAGATTAATATTTCTAGGATAAAATCTAAATAATTATTGAGGATTTACCAAGACCTGTTAAATGAAGTAAGGCGAGGGGCGGCTTTGAGCATCAATATGTGTCATGTTCCCTCTAACTTTCCATCTGTCTGAATGTTGGTTTTAATATATTTTCTAATATGAGTATATATGAAATAAAGATATTGCTTTATATTGTATATTAAAAAAAAACTGATCTTTGAGCAACTTTACTCAGTTATGTTTAGTTTTCTGGTTAATTTCCCTGGTCTCCCATAATTCAACCTTGTCTTCAGTGTTTAAAGTTTGCAATTTTCCCAATTATTGCCTTTAATCAATCTTGTAAATATTCTGAGACATTAGTGTTAAGTTATCAATATGTACTTCTGAACATCCAGTAACCTGTAGATATTACCAGTGGAAGTTTCCGACCCCGTCCTAACATATAGCCGGTTCTCAGTGTTGGAAAAAATGGTTAAAGTATATCTTCTTGTTATTATATATTTATAACATTTATTTGTATTCTTTATGCATCTGAGCCTTTAAAATACCAGAACTTGCATATAAAGTCTGTTTGCCAGCATCATTTATGAACATTAAATCTGATGTTAGTTTCTCAGGACTCAAGTAGCCTTTTTACTGAATACTTTTAACTTTTACTTGAGTAAAAACAAATTAAAGTTGTGGTAGCCGTTGTCCTCAGACATCTTTAACACCTGGCTGGACCAATCCATAGTGCCAGCATGCTTCCAGTCTGCCTCCATTATTCCAGTCCCAAAGAAGCCTCAGGTCGCCTCCCTCAATGATTAGCGGCCTGTCGCTCTGACTCCCATCATGATGAAGTGCTTCCAAAGGCTGGTTAAAGAACACATCGTCTCCAGTCTGCCGCCAACATTCCACCCGTTCCAGTTCGCCTACCGACGGAACCGCTCCACTGAGGACGCCATCTCTGCTGCTCTCCACCAGAGCCTGGCACACCTGGAGGAGAAGAACACCCACGATGGATGCTGTTCCTGGACTTCAGTTCAGCTTTCAGCACCATCATCCCACAGCATCTGATGGGCAAACTGGAACAGCTGGGCTTCAATACACCCCTCTGCTATTGGCTGCTAGACTTCCTCACAAACAGACATCAGTCAGAACACCTTTGATGTCATCAGTCTAAGCCCCTCCCCTCAGGGCTGTGTCCTGAGCCCCCTGCCATTCACCCTGATGACACACGACTGCGTCTCCCCCCCTACATGTGTGGAAAGTCACGCTGAGATCCTTTCCTGTCTTGTGTTTGTTAGAGGAACTTTACTTGTTCCAACATTTTGGTCTGAAAGATACCAAACAAATTATAAAAGAAAGCAAGATTTTGAAACAAACCACCTCCATTTATTCAACCATTTACATAAAAGAACTTTATAAAATCTAAAAATTTTAGTTATAACCTTAAAACATTCACACATGCAAACGTCACAGCTCGTCTTTCTCTCTTTCCTCCTCTAATGACGGAGTCGAGTTCTCCTTAGAAGGAGTAACTTTGATTTGTTTTCCATCTTTGATTTCCTCTTTTGCTGTTTCAGTGGTCATTTTCTTCTCAGTAACGCCTTTTGGCCGATCAGCCGATTGTCCAGCATGCGCGTCAATGTCCGCTGTCTTTACTCGTTTATCTGTTGTCACCTGAGACTCATCCTTTGCTGCTTCATGGACGAACTGAGCATTTATAGGAGATGAAAACATGTTGAGCAACTGCTGGGCCTGGATTCTCTCCTAGTAGTTAGAAGAGACACATTGAGAGAAGTTTAGTTTAGGCCAAATCAAACAAAAACATCTGTTTTACTTTTTATCTGCTAATTCTGAGCAAAGTCAGGTGAGAAGAACAATTATTACCTTTTCTTCATGAGTGGGATCCAAGGTGAACCAAAGAGCCATGGCACATCTCTGACCTTTAGTGATGGCTCGGACACCATGAGGGTTTTCTTTTCCCGCTCCGAAGCCGACAACCCGACCGCAGCGCGGCTGAACCTCAGCCTGTCAAAGTCACAAACATTCATCCTGTGACACAGTTACACTGCGTTTTTAATGATTTTTATTTATTATCGGTAATGCATATCGGAACCTGAAAACTACTGCATATACCTACCTACCTACCCACCTCCCTCCCTACCTACCTCCCTACCTACCTACCTACCTCCCTACCTACCTACCCACCTCCCTCCCTACCTACCTCCCTACCTACCTCCCTACCTCCCTACCTACCTACCCACCTCCCTCCCTACCTACCTCCCTACCTACCTACCTACCTCCCTACCTACCTACCTCCCTACCCACCTCACTACCTACCCACCTCCCTCCCTACCTACCTACCCACCTCCCTCCCTACCTCCCTCCCTACCTACCTCCCTACCTACCTACCTACCTCCCTACCTACCTACCCACCTCCCTCCCTACCTACCTCCCTACCTACCTACCTACCTCCCTACCTACCTACCTCCCTACCCACCTCCCTCCCTACCTCCCTCCCTCCCTACCTCTCTCCCTCCCTCCCTCCCTACCTACCTCCCTCCCTCCCTCCCTCTCTCCCTCCCTACCTCTCTCCCTCCCTCCCTACCTACCTCTCTCCCTCCCTCCCTACCTACCTACCTACCTCCCTCCCTACCTACCTACCTCCCTCCCTCCCTCCCTACCTCCCTACCTCTCTCCCTCCCTCCCTACCTACCTCTCTCCCTCCCTCCCTCCCTACCTACCTCTCTCCCTCCCTCCCTCCCTACCTACCTCTCTCCCTCCCTACCTACCTACCTCCCTACCTCTCTCCCTCCCTCCCTCCCTCTCTCCCTCCCTCTCTCCCTCCCTCCCTCCCTCCCTACCTACCTCCCTCCCTACCTACCTCCCTCCCTCCCTCCCTACCTACCTCTCTCCCTCCCTCCCTCCCTACCTACCTACCTCCCTACCTACCTCCCTCCCTACCTCCCTCCCTACCTACCTACCTCCCTCCCTCCCTCCCTCCTCCCTCCCTCCCTCCCTCCCTCCCTCCCTCCCTACCTACCTACCTCCCTACCTCCCTACCTCTCTCCCTCCCTCCCTCCCTACCTCCCTCCCTACCTACCTCCCTACCTCTCTCTCTCCCTCCCTCCCTCCCTACCTACCTCCCTCTCTCCCTCCCTCCCTCCCTCCCTACTGACCTCCCTACCTACCTACCTCCCTACCGACCTCCCTACCTACCGACCTCCCTCCCTCCCTCCCTACCTACCTCCCTACCGACCTCCCTACCTACCGACCTCCCTCCCTCCCTACCTCCCTACCTCTCTCTCTCCCTCCCTCCCTCTCTCCCTCCCTCCCTACCGACCTCCCTACCTACCTACCTACCTACCGACCTCCCTACCTACCTCCCTACCTCTCTCCTTCCCTCCCTCCCTTCCTACTTCCCTACCTACCTACCTACCGACCTCCCTACCTACCTACCTCCCTCCCTACCTACCTCCCTCCCTTCCTACTTACCTACCTCCCTCCCTTCCTCCCTTCCTACCTACCTCCCTTCCTCCCTCCCTCCCTTCCTACTTCCCTACCTCCCTACCGACCTCCCTACCTACCGACCTACCTACCTCCCTTCCTCCCTCCCTCCCTTCCTACTTCCCTACCTCCCTCCCTCCCTCCCTTCCTACTTCCCTACCTACCTACCTACCTACCTCCCTACCGACCTCCCTACCTACCGACCTCCCTCCCTCCCTACCTACCTCCCTACCGACCTCCCTACCTACCGACCTCCCTCCCTCCCTACCTCTCTCTCTCCCTCCCTCCCTCTCTCCCTCCCTCCCTACCGACCTCCCTACCTACCTACCTACCTACCGACCTCCCTACCTACCTCCCTCCCTTCCTACTTCCCTACCTCTCTCCTTCCCTCCCTCCCTTCCTACTTCCCTACCTACCTACCTACCTACCGACCTCCCTACCTACCTACCTCCCTCCCTACCTACCTCCCTTCCTACTTACCTACCTCCCTCCCTTCCTCCCTCCCTCCCTTCCTACCTACCTCCCTTCCTCCCTCCCTCCCTTCCTACTTCCCTACCTCCCTACCGACCTCCCTACCTACCGACCTACCTACCTCCCTTCCTCCCTCCCTCCCTTCCTACTTCCCTACCTCCCTCCCTCCCTCCCTTCCTACTTCCCTACCTACCTACCTACCTACCTACCTACCTCCCTACCTACCGACCTCCCTACCTACCTACCTCCCTCCCTACCTACCTCCCTCCCTTCCTACCTACCTCCCTCCCTTCCTACCTACCTCCCTCCCTTCCTCCCTCCCTTCCTACTTCCCTACCTACCTACCTACCTCCCTACCGACCTCCCTACCTACCGACCTCCCTACCTACCTACCTCCCTCCCTACCTACCTCCCTCCCTTCCTACCTACCTCCCTCCCTTCCTACCTCCCTCCCTTCCTACTTCCCTCCCTCCCTCCCTCCCTCCCTACCTACCTCCCTCCCTTCCTCCCTCCCTACCTACCTACCTACCTCCCTACCTCTCTCCCTCCCTACCTCCCTCCCTCCCTCCCTACCTCTCTCCCTCCCTCCCTCCCTCCCTACCTACCTACCTCCCTCCCTCCCTACCTCCCTCCCTCCCTCCCTCCCTCCCTACCTCTCTCCCTCCCTCCCTCCCTACCTACCTACCTCCCTCCCTACCTCCCTCCCTACCTCCCTACCTCCCTCCCTCCCTACCTACCTACCTCCCTACCTCCCTCCCTCCCTACCTACCTACCAACCTACCTCTCTCCCTCCCTCCCTCCCTACCTCCCTACCTCTCTCCCTCCCTCCCTCCCTACCTACCTCTCTCTCTCCCTCCCTCCCTACCTACCTCCCTCTCTCCCTCCCTCCCTCCCTCCCTACCTCCCTACCGACCTCCCTACCTACCGACCTCCCTCCCTCCCTCCCTACCTACCTCCCTACCGACCTCCCTACCTACCGACCTCCCTCCCTCCCTCCCTACCTCTCTCTCTCTCTCCCTCCCTCCCTACCTACCTCCCTCTCTCCCTCCCTCCCTACCGACCTCCCTACCTACCTCCCTCCCTTCCTACTTCCCTACCTCCCTCCTTCCCTCCCTCCCTTCCTACTTCCCTACCTACCTACCTCCCTACCGACCTCCCTACCTACCGACCTCCCTACCTACCTACCTCCCTCCCTACCTACCTCCCTCCCTTCCTCCCTCCCTCCCTTCCTACCTACCTCCCTCCCTCCCTTCCTACTTCCCTACCTCCCTCCCTCCCTTCCTACCTACCTCCCTTCCTCCCTCCCTCCCTTCCTACTTCCCTACCTCCCTACCGACCTCCCTACCTACCGACCTACCTACCTACCTCCCTCCCTACCTACCTCCCTTCCTCCCTCCCTCCCTTCCTACTTCCCTACCTCCCTCCCTCCCTCCCTACCTACCTCCCTACCTCTCTCTCTCCCTCCCTCCCTACCTCCCTCCCTACCTACCTCCCTACCTCTCTCTCTCCCTCCCTCCCTACCTACCTCCCTCTCTACCTCCCTACCGACCTCCCTACCTACCGACCTCCCTACCTACCTCCCTCCCTTCCTACTTCCCTACCTCCCTCCTTCCCTCCCTCCCTTCCTACCTCCCTACCGACCTCCCTACCTACCGACCTCCCTACCTACCTACCTCCCTCCCTACCTACCTCCCTCCCTTCCTACCTACCTCCCTTCCTCCCTCCCTCCCTTCCTACTTCCCTACCTCCCTCCCTCCCTTCCTACCTACCTCCCTTCCTCCCTCCCTCCCTTCCTACTTCCCTACCTCCCTACCGACCTCCCTACCTACCGACCTACCTACCTACCTCCCTCCCTACCTACCTCCCTTCCTCCCTCCCTCCCTTCCTACTTCCCTACCTACCTACCTCCCTACCGACCTCCCTACCTACCTACCTCCCTCCCTACCTACCTCCCTCCCTTCCTACTTACCTACCTCCCTCCCTTCCTCCCTCCCTCCCTTCCTACCTACCTCCCTTCCTACTTCCCTACCTCCCTACCGACCGACCTACCTACCTACCTCCCTCCCTACCTACCTCCCTTCCTCCCTCCCTCCCTTCCTACTTCCCTCCCTCCCTCCCTTCCTACTTCCCTACCTACCTACCTCCCTACCTACCTCCCTCCCTCCCTCCCTCCCTCCCTCCCTCCCTCCCTTCCTCCCTCCCTCCCTCCCTCAGGCTTCAAAGCAAACGATAAAACATGTTTGTGAAGAATGAACAGGTGGGACACAATCATGAAGTGGAACGAACTTTATTGGATATTTTAAAGTTTTTTAACAAATGAAAAACTGAACAATTGGCTGAGAATTATTATTCAGCCTCTTTGAGTCCAGCTTGAAGAATTCAGTTTAGGAGACTGGATAAAACCACATTTTTAAGACAGAAAAAGCACCCAGAAACAAGGCCGACAACGTTGTTTACACCGATCAGTGTAGTGAAGAACACATCAACCACTAAACAGGCACATGGCTCAACATGGGAGGGCCAACTCCTAAGGACAGGACTCAGATCTTCACCTACAGTTGAAGGTAAAGGGACAACGTCCAGATTCTGGCCAAGGAAGACAGATGGTTTGAGAGAGGGGTTAAGGAAACCATCTTTGCACATCAATGAGGCTTGTGACTGAAACCACTATGATGAGAGAGTTAAAGACTCATCAGAACCCCCAAACGACCACCTTTTGTCCCCGTTAACTCTTTGTTCCACCTACAGGATATTAATCTCAGTGCTCCCCACCACTAATTAGAACTGAAGAAGCCTCTTGGATGAGAGGAGAACCATCTTCTAGAAAACTTCACATTCAGTTGCCCAAACTGAAATTTTCAGGCTTGCCACCACCATGTCAGACTGTGGGGATGGTGTGTTCAGGGTGATGAGCTATGCTGCTTTTACACCCAACGTAACATTTTGGATTGTTACCAGAAAGTTGGATTTTGGTTCCATCTGAGCAGAGCTCCTTCTTCCACACGTTTGCTTTGTCTCACTTTAAACCTAAGTTTTCATGGATATCTTTCAGAAATGGGTAAGGGTTCCTGTTCAAAGGGAGTTTTTCCTCTCCACTGTCGCTACAAGCATGCTTAGTGTGAGGGAGTCAGAAGCAGCAGCCTGTGTATGCACTGAGACAGAGAGACTCTCCCGTTTTCCAAATGAAATGTAGTCACACATGATCACACTATTGATCCTCCTGGAATTCAATAGCTGGATGTAATTATAACATTTTGCAGATTTTTTTCCTTTTAACTGGGACTAAATTGGATCTCTCCGCATTTAATTCATATCTCATATAATTCAAACCTCATCCTCTGTATGTGCCTCTTAACTCTCCTTAAGTTGAATGTGATAACATAAGATTGATTTGGAGTATTTTGTTATTACTTTCAGCCTACTAATGTATTTACCTATAATATGCATATTATGTGGTGATGTCATTTAGCTAGCCCTGCACACTATGTTCATAAAATATCCTCTGCCCATCCTATTATCCAACCTTTTTTATTATTTTCTGGTCTGTTATCTGTTTCCAACTCTGTTCACCTTAAATGGAAACATTTAACAGCCGAATCAGATCATTTCGATCTGAGGGGGAAAAAAGCTGTTACCCGGATATTATTTCATAATGTTTTTATTTATACATTCATTCAGGTAAATAAAGAATCATTTAGTTTACTTATTATGCCTCTCTTCATTTCACTGACAAACAGGTAATAAAACAGTCCAAATAATCACTTACCGTAACTGTTTTTGCATCCAGCTCAGTAAAAATAAACTCTCCTCCTTCAAAGTCATCATTTAGATACAGTATGGCACTGCAGGAAGCACATTGCAATATTAGAGAGATGTAGATTAGAACGGCTTTCACAGGTAATTTTTAAACCTGACCTGTAGTCTCTGTGAGTGTAAGCAGGAGGTTCTTTTTTACACTCTTTGAGCTCCGAAACCAGCAGACAGTTGTCTACATGAACTGGGTGGCTTAGGTCCTTCCGGTCAACCTGCTTTTCTGAACAGCAAGTGGCACAAAGAGAATTTATATGAAAATCGTGTTTAAAAATTATTTACTATTTACAACTTTCTTCTATCTCACGTTTCTTTTTCCATCAAAGACATGTGGATATCAGATCAACATAGTCTGTTTATTCACAAAAAATAAAATTACTAGGGAAGCACGATATAATGGGCCCCCTATCGGTATCGGCCTTAAAACTGAATATCGGACATCGGCCACCCCACCGATATTTAACCCGATATTTGATCAGCTTCTGAGTTTCTAAAGTCTAAAAAAAAAAAAAATACTTCTTCTTCCTCAAAAACTTCTTTTTTACAGACTTAAAAACTTCTAAAGACGAGGAAAAAAATATTGATACATTAAAATATCACAATATCCTTATATGCTGATATATTGCCATTTAAAAACACCATATCAATCTCTTTTACTAATGAAATATTGCTATATGTCATCGTTATGCTACGAAATCCCCCGAAAATTCACGGAATGTTGCCATATTTTTATATGTTGATATTAGGGCTGCAACAACGAATCGATAAAATCGATAAAAATCGACTTTTAAAAGCGTTGGCAACGAATTTAATCATCGATTAGTTGTGTCGCGCGATTAATGCGTCATCCGCAGCTGCCTTCATCACATCCACTTGACTGAAACGGGGGAAGAAAAAAAATTATGGCGGCGCGAGTCAGCGCCGAAGTGTTGCCAACTCAGAGACTTTTCAGACGCCTCCAGCGACTATTTTTCAAAAAAGCGACTAGCGACAAATCTGGCGACTTTTTACGGTGTCACTGGCGGCTTTTGGAGACTCTTATGTGAAAGCATGTATCGTTCCTACTCTGCCGTGGGGCGCCTCCCCCATCCCAACCTCGTTCTCCCTCCTCCCGCAGGAGTCCCTCTCAGCGCTGCAGTCAGACCCTCAGCGTCCAGACTGCAAATGAAGCGTGCATACGCCAGGATTGACGGCGCAAATTGATCACAATAATTAAAATAGCCTGCGCTTTGTAAAGCGAAAAAAGTCGTAACATGAAACTTTTGTCAAAACAAATGAACATGGCACGGAAGCACCACTGTTATGATGCAGCACCTGAAAAGGAAACACGTTGGAGCCTTCGATGGTGTGAAGAGAGCTGATCAGCAGGGTGAGTGACCATGTTTGTTTGGTTTTTAAAGTGGGGAAACGTAACGTTAGTTTCTCACGTAGCTCATCTGATGCTTTCCTTACCGTGTTAGTAGGTTACAGACAGTGATAAGGTTGGCTACTTATTTTACTTTTAATTTCATTTGAATTAGCTTAAGCAGCGTTTATATTTACTTTATAGATAAATTAACTTCAAATTATGAGGGCAAGGCTTTTAAAGTTTAAATCTTCTGGCACAGATAAAGTAAAGAAGATCCTGCAATTGATGGAAGTAAAGCAGAATAAAATCCAGCAAGATCAGTAATATGTCAATTAATTATCTGCCACATTCCCATGTAAATATCTGTCTTTGGAGGATGTGTTTTTTAGCACCCCTAGTTCTCTCATTTTTATTCCAAATACAATTTATAATTTGAATCACAGGCTATTTTTATCTCTATGGTTCAGTATTTTCTCAAGCAGCAACTTTAACTGCTATACTTTCCTGTCTTAAAAGGCAGAACTCCTCTAGTCTAAAAAAACTCATTTGTTGAAATGGGGGGGCCTATTGTTTGAACCCCTTAGGGACTTTAAAAACAAAAATGTCTTTTTTTGCACTTTATGAAACAAAGTAGCCTATATTTTGTGGATGTACAGCTACATTTCTCATGTAAGTTTGCGTAGTTTTAACACAAACATTTATTTTTCATATTGCACCAGTACAGTTAATGAGCAACCTGTACTTGTGTGCTTGTTTGTTCTGTCTAAAATGTTTATTTTGGAATAAAGAGGTTAATATAAAAAATATTTTTTGTCCGATTCATCGATTAATCGAAAAAATAATCGGCCGATTCATCGATTTTTAAAATAATCGTTAGTTGCAGCCCTAGTTGATATATTGACGCAGTATCGATCTATTTTACTAACAAAATCTCACAAGAATTTGCAAAATATCACGAGTGAAATTTCACGAGATTTTGAAAGTAAAATAGATCGATACCGCGTTTTTAAAAATCTATTTGATATCAGCAAATGAAAATATATTTGAGTTTATTATTTTTCAAAGTGTCAGAAATGGATAACAAAACTGCTATTTTCAATGACTACTTATTTTTGTCCAGCTTTAACATCGGTATCGATATCGGTTATCGGCTACATGAGTTTCAAAATATCGGCATATCGGATATCGGCCAAAATCCCAATATCGTGCATCCCTATTAGCTAGTGGTTGACTTGAACTTGAACTGACGCCACTCATTTCCATACACATCTCAATGCTGTCATATCAAATGTTTTGTGTTTATTGGTAATTGTTTATCATGGGATTCAGTGAACCTTGATTGATTTGACTGTTTACCAAAGACTACTGCTACACATCTGTTTGCAATAGATCATCTATGCTGCTAATCGGATGGCCGTTTCCTCAGTGCATCACAACAGCTGAGTAAATGAACTGAATATAATTAAAGACTCTATCCTAAGGACTCATCTAAATCTGTTACATTTACTGTTTATTTCCTGTATTCTGTATTTATTCCAGTAGCTTGTAGTGTTTGCATAGCCTATATAACATGGTCCAAAATGTCTCAAATGTAAACCTTTAATAAAGCCTAATAACTGAGCAAATTGACCATCATTTGACCAACCTTCGTTTACCTTTGATTAAGGAAATAATTAACTACAACATCTGGTTTTATTTTTTAAAGAATTTAATGAAAAAACTGGTAAACTTGGACGAGTATAAATGTTACAGTAACTTTGATTCACAGAGAAACATAATCCTCCACCGCTGCTTTTTCCAGCAACAATCCCTGCGTACTGGACATCCGAATCTCCTCAAAAGTAATTTTCCATATGCCTCCAACTCATTGGTCTTTTTCCTGATAGCCTAAATTAACTTAAAATGCTGAAATCTGCCCACAAAGCATGTTTATTTTATTATCCTGGCGCCTGCAGTTAAGATTACATACATGAAAAACACCTTCCAGCCGCCGCGGCAAACCGCAAAGAGACGACCGGGCCGTAGGCTGCTGTTGAATGGCGCACCGCCGGCATGTGGGGTTCTGAGCGGCTCCCACAGAGAAATAATTAATTTCTCACTGAAAAACATATTAAAACGACTTTTTACCCACTGATTACAGCAAATCTAGCTGCCATTGTTCCAGGCAAAGAAAGGATAGGGTAGCTCCGCCCACCGCGCATCAGACCCACTTTACCATCAGAACTAAACTTGAACGAGCAGCAAAAATGAAGCAGAACATGCATGTTTGCTGCTCTTGCTGCTTGCGGTGTGAACGCTGCCCAGCACAATTACTAGTGTAATAAATGTGCTGATATACCATAGGATATAATTACACCAAACTATTTATTTTTAATGAAAATTGAAGATAGATAGAATATTGTTGCCAAAGTTGTGCTGCTGCCATCAACACCTTTGTTTCTGGATGTTGGAGCTTGGCCTGTTTTCCAGTGTAGTCCTGTTTCTCTGACTGTGACTAACTGGATGTGCTCTCTTCATCCTCTGACATGGGAGCTGGCTCGGAGCTCGTCTGCCTGGCTGTGTGTTTCCTGGACGGGGCCGCCTGTGGAGCTGGTTGACAGTTGCCTTTTGTATCTATGCTTCTTTTTCTATGTCTGCTTCTGTCTCCTTGAACCCCAGTGGGCCTCAGCAGATGGCCGCTCACACTGAGCCTGGTTCTGCTGGAGGTTTCTTCCTGTTCAAAGGGAGTTTTTCCTCTCCACTGTCGCTACAAGCATGCTTAGTGTGAGGGATTGCTGAAGAGTCAATGAGTCGATGCAATCAGCTGGTTTTCCTTAGATAGAAAACTTTGAATCAATCTGACTGGATGATCTGGTGAACTGGAAAGGGACCTGAGATGACATGATGTGAATTGGAGCTATAGAAATAAACTGAATAGAATTGAATTGGATAAAGTGGGAAATGTTCCTGAGGATTTAGGTGGCTTTTAGCCCTGGAAGGACTGTTTCTTTTCCTACTTCCATTGGAGACACTGACCAGGTTAATGCTTCGTCTTCCCCGCTCCAAGGCTGCACTGATCATCAGCTGTACGCCTTACATATCCTGCAGTTAGCCTAGGAGCTAGCTCCAGCTAGCCATAGCCTCTCCTAGCTCTGTCTCCCGGGCTGCAAATCTTCAATGTACTTTAGTCCTACTCCCGGTAAGCCTTAGCCCCTCCCCCACCTTCAGCATGCTGTCTGCCTGCCTCTTTCTATTTCTATAACATTCTCTGTTCTGATTCTCTGCTGTTTATGTCTGACTGTCTCACCTAACTTTTGTTATCCTGTAGAATCAGGTGAATCCAGAACGCCGACACCAACAGCTTTGTTTGGCTTTAAAAAAAAACACCAGCAAGAAGCGCCATAAATTCCTGTCCTCCTTGTTTTGTGTTGAATTGTCTTTGTCCCTTCCCCCGTAAGTCAGCATCTGAAATTCCTTGTTTTAAGGACAAGACTCATGCCATCTCCCTTTTGTTATGTCCACTTCTCCTATATCAGGGTTCCTACAGCATAAGGTGAGTTAAATTCAAGACTTTTTAATGCCACTTGAAATAAAAATTTAAGACCAAATTCACAAGAAACACAAGAAAAACCCGCTTGCGACAACCTGACCCAAAAGTTTATTTTAACATAAACCACTGCACTAATGTTTCAAATTTTGAAAAGCTTCCCATACAGGAAGAAAGCTAAAAACACACAAATGACAGATATATTTGAACAATTATTTAACTGAAGTCACAAACTTTTTTTTAGCAGGGAACAAAACAATCAGTTTTAAAGCCACAACATAACCAGTGTCCTTTTTGCAGCTATTTTTCTTTGTATGGTTTTCTTAGTATGTTTGATTTGGTGATAAGTGGAGGCGTTGCAGAGACAAGGGTGGAACTAAACTGAGAAATAACAGCTGTTTCGCGGTAACTCGATTTTGATGCTTTGTGTTTCTCGCTTTGCATGCGACTCCACTGCCTAAGGCCCCGTCCACACGAAGCCGAACCCTGGCCTAAACGCACAAATTTTTCACCAAACCAGCCTCTCATCCACACGAAGCCGGCGTTTCGGGGGTCTGTAAACGATCATTTTTTTATTCAGCCTTCAGAGTGGGAAGATTCTGAAACGCCGTTTTCGCGTTTCCATGTTTACACCCTAACCGCATTTTTTTTTTTACACGCATGCGTCATAGCGTCGCCTCTAAACACGCAAGCGCGACACATCACAACAACAATGGCGCCGTTGCTGCTAATGCTACTCACCCTGCTGTCGGGCTGGTCGGGCTTACAACAGAATCTTCTTCTTCTGGAATATCTCCAGGAAGAACAGAGCAATATCGACCACATAGTTCAGCACCTGAATTTGACTTAACCACGAAAATAGACCCGCAGGGCAACCATGTATAAATATTAGTGCGCATGCCCTACATTTCGTCGCTTATTTTTGCTTTGGCACCACAGCGCCACTTACAGGCCTGGCATACATTTTGCAGCGTTTTCATGCATTCGTGTGGACGCTCACATTTATTTTACGTCTCCGTCTTTACGGCAAACGTTTTGGAAAATATCAGCGTTTTGTGTTCGTTTTGACTTCGTGTGGACGGGGCCTTAATTCCCATCGTTCTGAGCTTCAGTGACTTCTTGCACTAAATCCACTGAGCCTCATGTATGTTCCCTGGTTTTAGCCATGGAGAAAACTCTTGGCTGGAGACAATTTTCATTACATTTACAGATTTACAGAAAGTTAATGGTGCATCTCCCAAATGTCCCGGCCACAACAACACTTTTATTGGTTCCGCTATCGGGACGGAACCAGTAATGGCGAGCCGTTATTTTCTTTAATAAAAAAAAAGGTAAATTTTAATGTTTTATTTAGATTACAAAAATAAATCATAATAAAAATAATCCTTTTTATGAGGTTTTGAAAATTAAGACCTACGAAAGACTGATTTAAGACATTTTAATACCAATTAAGGCCTTAGTGTTATTTTGAAGAATTCAATGCCTTTTAAGACTTTTTAAGGACCTGCGGGAACCCTGTATATGCAAAGAGGAATTGGGACACCACTACCCTCATGGGTATAAAAAACATTTAGTTGTAGGGCTAAAGAGCAGGGCTACGGGTTTGTATTAGGATTGTGCTTAAGTATGTAAAACCATGTCAACCAATAAACCTTCCAGGTTTCAAGAACTACAGGATCATTATATATAATATTATATATTAGCTTTGCCTCTAAAGGGCTAAATTTTCCAAATAATAAGCAAGCAAAATATGTTCAATTCAAAAAGCATATCCAGTCTGACCCTTTAATCACTAAGAAATATTTAGGAATCAATAAATTGGATTGCTTTTTCTAAAGCTGTAGTAAATACAAATTCAGTAAATATTTTAGGAATTAAATAGTTTATAGTTTATGTGATAAACATCTTGATCTTTTTTTAATATATATATATATATATATATTTTTTTTTTATATATATATTTTTTATATATATTTTACAAAAATATATTTTATTTTATAAAAAAAAAAAAAGATAAACATCTTGATCTATGTGCTCAGTTCCTAATTACAATGTCCCTGACGTTCCTTGAGATGACATGTGTTGTGAATTTGGCGCTATATAAATAAACTGAATTGAATTGAATTGACAGAAAACACTTGGTAGTAGGAAAGGACGTTATATATAGTCATTTAGTTTTTCACGTGAGTAAAATAGACTTTAAACCAATCAATTCATTTAAAACCCGCCCTCAACACTCCCATGACTTAACTTACCATCAATGGCAGAGCGACATACAAGGTGTGAATAGGAGAAGTAGAGAGGTTTGTCCAGTTGAAAGTACGACTCCAACACTTTTCTCACTTTCTCGCTGAGGTCAAAGAACAAACGAGCGCTCTTCAGAGGGACCTTTCCCTCCTGTCCGAGCTATGAAATGTAACAAAACAATTTAATGACCAACACAGTATGGGTAACCATTAGTAACCAGAACATCAAACAGTTCAGAAAGTGCTTTAATCTCATTTCTACGGAAGATGATTAGGGCCACTGAAAAAAAAAATGTTAACTGATTTTTTTTTATTTTATTTCAGTATAGTATGGGAAAAAAGTCAGAATTCTTTTTTCTCAGAATTCTGACTTTTTTCTCAGAATTCTGACTTTAATCTTAGAATTTTGAAATTTTTCTCAGAATTCTGACTTTAATCTCAGAATTCTGACTTTAATCTTAGAAATCTGACTTTAATCTCAGAATTCTGACTTTAATCTTAGAATTCTGACTTTAATCTCAGAATTCTGACTTTAATCTTAGAATTCTGACTTTAATCTCAGAATTCTGACTTTAATCTAAGAATTCTGACTTTTTTCTCAGAATTCTGACTTTAATCTTAGAATTCTGACTTTAATCTCAGAATTCTGACTTTTTTCTCAGAATTCTGAGTTTAATCTCAGAATTCTGGCTTTAATCTTAGAATTCTGACTTTAATCTCAGAATTCTGACTTTAATCTAAGAATTCTGACTTTTTTCTCAGAATTCTGACTTTAATCTTAGAATTCTGACTTTAATCTCAGAATTCTGACTTTTTTCTCAGAATTCTGAGTTTAATCTCAGAATTCTGACTTTAATCTTAGAATTCTGACTTTTTTCTCAGAATTCTGACTGAATTCTGACAATAAAAAAAGCCAGAATTCTGAGAAAAAAGCCAGAATTCTGAGATTAAAGCTACAGTGTGTAATTTTCAGCGACATCTAACGTCCAGATTGCAGACCGCAGAAACATGAACGTCTCCCCCCCACCGCTTCTCCCCCCAACAGTACGGCAAGCGTTACGGGACAAAATGTCTTCCACGATGTCCACATCACCTACCTTCTCAAGTGATGAGGTTTGTTTACATAGATAATTTTACAGATAGTATTTCATTAGTCTGTGTGTTCAGTACCGTCTCAGTTCATCTCTCTCAACTTGCCGTAGTTACTTTCGAGCGTAATGGGTGATCTCGCAATCGCTAGTTTGTTGCCTCTGCGCTGCCGTAGCGCAAAGATGTCTGCCTCCATGGCTGCGAGACCCGCTCCTATGTAATTATAAATAAGGAATGCTAAGGCAACGCAAATATTAAGGTTAAGAGGCTGAGCTCGTAGATGATGATAAATAACATAGTTATGTATAATATATTACATTTCTGACTGTATATCCCTGTAATTATTACACACTGTAGCTTTAAAGTCAGAATTCTGACTTTTTTCCCATACTATACTGAAATAAAATAAAAAAAATCAGTTAACATTTTTTTTTTCAGTGGCCCTAATCCTCTTCCGTACTTTTCACTTGGAAGATGATTGGGAATAATTATCTCTGGAGGAATAATGCAATGTCACATTTTCATTAAACCCTCAGTCATTTCAAATGCTGCTGGTAAAATGCTCTGCAAACAAAATTGCAAATATAAGTCTCAATTATTTTCTTTTTTTTAAACTCATAAAATGTAGTTAAGGGGAAAATTTGAAACATCCTTCTCTCAAAGGTGTTTGATTAATCTCTAAGCCAAAAATATTAACCACACTAAGTTACTTTGTAAAACATAAATTCATTTATTTTCATGAGCATCAAACTAATCAAGTCAAACATTAATATTTTTTTCCTAATTAGCGATTTTCTCACTGACTAATTAAAAAGAGGTAATTTCCTTTGAAACCATCACCTTCTATTATTTAGATTATATGTTTTAAATAAAACTGAGTATTTTATGGTGCTTCTGGATGAAGCTTTAGAAATTTGTTCTCATTTTGCAAACTGACTAAATCTGAAGCTCAGCTGCAAAATCCATAGAAAATCATTTTGCACGTAGCTTATTTCACACCAGCAAACTGCAGCACAATAGCATCGAATGAATTTTTCAAATTCTCTGGGATTATAAGAAGAAAATGCTCTTTCTATGAAGACCAGTCAAAGAAACGATTTTATTTTGTTCATATATTTTATTACAGCCTCTGCCAGCAGTATTATAGGAGCAGAACACATGAACTTTAAGATCAGGTTAGTGACTAACACGTTCATTATCATCCTCCGTCAGATAGAGGCGGTCACTAACCTGCTTTCTCCTCCTGCAGAGGTTCCTGCAGATCAATAATCCTTAATAAAGCTTTTCTGAAATATCAAACTGTCTGTTGCTTTAAAAACTGTGTCCTCTTTTCTGAGCCTTGACACATAGTTTTAGCATCTTTTTAAGGTGGAATGACAGAAAAGGCTTAATCAAGTAACATTTCCCAAACATAGAACAATATGTAACAACATCAGGTATGAAAAAAACTGACGCATATTTCATTGACAGTTATATAAACTTTAAACGTGGATTGAAGCAAAGTGTTTCTAAGAATTTTCTAATATTGGAGATTTTAGGAGCAGGCTAAGATACTCCAATATACATTTTCTGGCTGATGTCAGACCAGTTTCTGATATCAATATCGATCGGACAGACCTAGACCTAGACCAGACCTAATATGATGTGAATTAAAGGAGAAACTCTAAAGTCTCCACTTTGGTGAAATTTAGATTGGCTCCTTTTGCATTGCCCACCATCGAACTGCTCCTGAATGCACCTCCGCAACTGAAGTCAAGTGTAGGCAACTTCAGGGGTTCTTAAAAATAGGGATGCACGATATTAGGATTTTGGCCGATACCGATATGCCGATATTTTAAAACTCATGTAGCCGATAACCAATATCGATACCGATATTAAAGCTGGACAAAAATAAGTAGTCATTGAAAATAGCAGTTTTGTTATCCATTTCTGACACTTTGAAAAATAATAAACTCAAAATATATTTTCATATGCTGATATCAAATAGATTTTTAAAAACGCGGTATCGATCTATTTTACTTTCAAAATCTCGTGAAATTTCATCTTTCTGTTACAAACTCTCGTGATATTTTGCAAATTCTTGTGAGATTTTGTTAGTAAAATAGATCGATACCGCGTCAATATATCAACATATAAAAATATGGCAACATTTGGTGAATTTTGGGGGGATTTCGTAGCATAACGATGACATATAGCAATATTTCAGTAGTAACAGAGATTGATATGGTGTTTTTAAATGGCAATATATCAGCATAGGAAGATATTGGGATATTTTAATGTATCAATATTTTTTCCCTCGTCTTTAGAAGTTTTTAAGTCTGGAATAAAGAAGTTTTTGAGGAAGAAGTAGAAACTCAGAAACTGATCAAATATCGAGTTAAATATCGGTGGGGTGGCCGATGTCCGATATTCAGTTTTAAGGCCGATACCGATAGGGGGCCGATTATATCGTGCACCCCTACTTAAAACAGCTAAATTTATAAAGAAATGTAAATTGCAAACAGGTGAACATGTTGCTAACTAGATTACATGACTTTTTAATATCATAATGTATTGTAAATAGATATGATCTAGGGTATTAGAGCAAAATAGAATAGAAAGGACATTCAGTTTTCTTTGTTTTCTTCACAAGGTGTAAAATAAAGTAATCCATTTTATTTGTCCACTTCAAACTATTCTAATACTTCAAATTGATCTATATGAATCCCAGTTTAACACTTTTCAGGTTGTGAAATGAGAAAAGGTAGAAATGTAGAAAGAATAAAAACGGTTTCATGAGATTTTCCCGGTTGAACTACAGACCTTGACAGCTGCCAGGACAGTGACTCCCTGAAACATCTCATTGGGCGTGTGTGGGGATGGTTGCCCACGGTAACCATCGCCTTTTAGGGCCGCAGCCTAGAAAAAATGACATCAGATGCTGTCACATATTAGAATGATGTGAGGTGATCTAAAACTAGACAAAGCTTCCTTTTGCAATGACTCACGTTGGAGAGGCGTTGCAGCTCCCTGCATTCGTCATCGCTGATCATCCCATCCAACAGCACCCGCTGAGATCCATTCAGCTGGCTGGATATCATGGTCACTTTAATATTGTCATACAGCTCCGCCCCACCTAGGGAAAGCAGGTCGTAACACCAGTAAGCATTACTGGGATGATGTGTTTTAAAGGACCTTGGGTGGAACAGTTACCTTCTTGGGGCAGAACAATTTTTGCCATTTCTGAGGAATCCTTTTTCTTCTCCTCAACTAGCGTCTCAATCTCCTTCATCAGGTTTCCTATCTCCTCTGTGATCCTCGCTGCCGTCTCTCTGTCCGCCCTGAGATACAAAGAGTTAATCCAAATTAGGGCTGCAACAACGAATCGATAAAAATCGATAAAATCGACTTTTAAAAGCATTGGCAACGAATTTCGTCATCGATTAATTGTGTCACGCCATTAACGCGTCATCCGCCGCCATCGTCACTGCTGTGGGGCGCCTCCCCCATCCCAGCCCCATTTTCCCGCAAGAGTCCCTCTCAGCGCTGCAGTCAGAGCCGCAGGATGTTTACCCTCAGCGTCCAGACTGCAAATGAAGCGCGCATACGCCGGGATTGACGGCGCAAATTGATCACAATAATTAAAATAGCCTGCGCTTTGTAAAGCGAAAAAAGTCGTAACATGAAACTTTTGTCAAAACAAATGAACATGGCACGGAAGCACCACTGTTATGATGCAGCACCTGAAAAGGAAACACGTTGGAGCCTTCGATGGTGTGAAGAGAGCTGATCAGCAGGGTGAGCGGCCATGTTTGTTTGGTTTTTAAAGTGGGGAAACGTAACGTTAGTTTCTCAGGTAGCTCATCTGATGCTTTCCTTACCGTGTTAGTAGGTTACAGACAGTGATAAGGTTGGCTACTTATTTTACTTTTAATTTCATTTGAATTAGCTTAAGCAGCGTTTATATTTTCTTTATAAATAAATTAACTTGCAAATTATGAGGGCAAGGCTTTTAAAGTTTAAATCTTCTGGCAAAGATAAAGTAAAGAAGATCCTGCAATTGATGGAAGTAAAGCAGAATAAAATCCAGCAAGATCAGTAATATGTCAATTAATTATCTGCCACATTCCCATGTAAATATCTGTCTTTGGAGGATGTGTTTTTTAGCACCCCTAGTTCTCTCATTTTTATTCCAAATACAATTTATAATTTGAATCACAGGCTATTTTTATCTCTATGGTTCAGTATTTTCTCAAGTAGCAACTTTAACTGCTATAATTTCCTGTCTTAAAAGGCAGAACTCTTCTAGTCTAAAAAAACCTCATTTGTTGAAATGGGGGGCCTATTGTTTGAACCCCTTAGGGACTTTAAAAACAAAAATTTCTTTTTTTGCGCTTTATGAAACAAAGTAGCCTATATTTTGTGGATGTACAGCTACATTTCTCATGTAAGTTTGCGTAATTTTAACACAAACATTTATTTTTCATATTGCACCGGTACAGTTAATGAGCAACCTGTACTTGTGTGCTTGTTTGTTCTGTCTAAAATGTTTATTTTGGAATAGAGGTTAATATAAAAAATATTTTTTGTCCAATTCATCGATTAATCGAAAAAATAATCGGCCGATTCATCGATTTTTAAAATAATCGTTAGTTGCAGCCCTAGTCCAAATTGACAGAGGAGAAAACCGCCTACTTAATTAGAACTTCAGAGAAAATTTTATCAATTCAGTAATACTTTGTTAATCCCAAAATTAAATTAATTAATCCAGTAACTCTTGGGCATTTTTTTAATGAGTTGTTTCAGGTGTTGATGCTGTAGGCAGGAATGATCTTCTGTAGCGGTCTGTCTCACCCCGGATCTAAAGAAGCCTCTGACCAAAGACACCGGTCCAAATATTTTGCTGGCCATTTGTTTATGGTTTTATAATGAGAAATGCAAGATCAGGAAAAGATCTGTTTCCTGATTTCCATTGTTCTGGTTTTAAGATCCCAAATTGGAAGCCATAAAAAAGCCCATAATCTGTTTCTCAATTCCAAAATGAAAATCATAACTTCTATTCCTCCTGATTATTATAAACAGTTTGGCAATTTCACTGTAAATACATAAAAACATTATATTGACACAAAAAGCTATAAAAATCTGATGGACTTTAGTTTTTCTATTTGTTTAAACTTATTAGGAAATCAGGGAAATTTTTTTTTGTGATTTTGGATTTTCAAAGCTGAATAGCCAGCATGAACACAGACCGGCACTCTGCTGTTGATTTTAAATCTTGGAAGCTCACTGTGGTCCATAATGTTCTCCACTTTAAGAGCAATTGTGAAATTCTCTTCAGAGGTTCTAGAGCAGTTTCTAGAACAGAGACGGTTTCCTCTATCAGCTTTTGGAGTCATTTGGTCTAAGAATTTTAGAATTTTTGCTGCATCACTTTGCCCATGTTATTGCACAGATGCACCCGCCTACATACAAGTTAATCGAAAGTAAAAGAATTATTTAAACATTACTAAAGTGTCAAGTATGAACAAGACATCGCAGTATTTAGATCAATTTGCAGAAGAGCTAAAAATCTTACTTGTGTTTGTTTCTTAACTTGTTCGGCATGACATCCTCTGGAGTCCAAGCGTCCTAACAGTTCAAGTTACACAAAATAATAAGTTACAGGGAGCATTTCGTTAATAGCATTTATAAAAGTAGATAAAAACAATAAAAAAAAGAGTTTCTTTGTTTTCTTACAGGATCTACAAAGGTGATACCAAAAGCTTCGTATCCAAAGTACAGCAACTCCTTTTCCAGTATGGACTGCTGGATGTAATGTTTCACCACCTGTGTTACAGATCGCACATTAAAAATCACAGCTTATGATGTCACCAATAAATAATCAGCACTGATCTTATTCCTCTAAATGTTTTAGAGTACAACAGGGCCCCAATACAAAACACACAAGTTCTTATGAACTGTAAAGTGATCTGGTGTACTGTAAAGTGATCTGGTGAACTGTAAAGAGACCTGGTGAACTGTAAAGGGATCTAGTGAACTGTAAAGTGATCTGGTGAACTGTAAAGTGATCTGGTGAACTGTAAAGTGATCTAGTGAACTGTAAAGGGATCTGGTGAACTGTAAAGAGATCTAGTGAACTGTAAAGGGATCTAGTGAACTGTAAAGTGATCTGGTGAACTGTAAAGAGACCCGCTGAACTGTAAAGGGATCTAGTGAACTGTAAAGTGATCTGGTGAACTGTAAAGGGATCTGGTGAACTGTAAAGTGATCTGTTGAACTGTAAAGGGATCTGGTGAACTGTAAAGGGAACTAGTGAACTGTAAAGAGATCTGCTGAACTGTAAAGGGATCTGGTGAACTGTGAAGTGATCTGGTGAACTGTAAAGGGATCTAGTGAACTGTAAAAGGATCTAGTGAACTGTAAAGTGATCTGGTGAACTGTAAAGGGATCTGGTGAACTGTAAAGGGATCTAGTGAACTGTAAAAGGATCTGGTGAACTGTAAAAGGATCTAGTGAACTGTAAAGTGATCTAGTGAACTGTAAAGGGATCTAGTGAACTGTAAAAGGATCTGGTGAAATGTAGTGGTACCTGTCTGGCTGATATAGCTTCTGCCCGGTCTTTGCCCAGAACAGCAGAATAATAGTTAAGATTCTGGGTCATCATGTCGTCCTTAGGGTGGAACAACAGGTAGGTCTTTGCACATTCTACGGCCTGCTCATACTTCTCACCTGCAAAGAGGGTCAAAAGAAAGAAGATGATGAGCAACAACACTATTTTCTCCTACTTGTTTCAATAAAACATTAATTGAAACACCATTAAATTCAAAGTTGGTATTTACTCATCATTGTTTATACTCCACAATATCTCTCAAACTATATATATATATATATATATATACACATACACAGGGCTCGATGTTAACCATTGCCCGATCGCCCGGGGCAAGTAGTTTTTATTGTCGGGAGAGTACAAATTTCATTGCATTTGCCCACCGAGCACGTACAATGATAGCAAAAAAAATTATTTATCACTTAAAATTACTTTAAATTCGCTTAAAACGACCCACAAGCGTTGCCGGCGCCATTTTTGTTGTTTTGTACACATTCTCGCATGATTTGAACAAGCCGCATGATTTTCCGCTAGATGCCGTGATTTTTGTCTGGGAATTGGCGCGAATCAGACAAATTTTTTTCGACTTGGCAGGCTAAAAAACAACAAGGCAAAAAAAGTAACTATAGTAACACACTGGCCACCTATTTTACCCTCCACCCATTCTCCACCTAGCATCCATTTCACCCATTAACCACCTACTACTATCCACCTTCATCCATTTCTCCCATCACCTACCACCCATCCTCCACCTAGCATCCATTTCTCCCATCACCTACAACCCATCCTTCACCTAGCATCCATTTCTCCCATCACCTACCACCCATCTTCCACCTAGCATCCATTTCTCCCATCACCTACGACCCATCCTCCACCTAGCATCCATTTCTCCCATCACCTACCACCAATCCTCCACCTAGCATCCATTTCTCCCATCACCTACCACCCATCCTCCACCTAGCATCCATTTCTCCCATCACCTACCACCCATCCTCCACCTTCATCCATTTCTCCCATCACCTACCACCCATCCTCCACCTAGCATCCTTTTCACCCATCACCTACCACACATCCTCCACCTAGCATCCTTTTCACCCATCACCTACCACCCATCCTCCACCTAGCATCCTTTTCACCCATCACCTACGACCCATCCTCCACCTAGCATCAATTTCACCCATCACCTATGACCCATCCTCCACCTAGCATCCATTTCACCGATCTCCTACCACCCATTCTCCACCTAGCATCCATTTCACCCATTAACCACCTACTACTATCCACCTTCATCCATTTCTCCCATCACCTACCACCCATCCTCCACCTTCATCCATTTCTCCCATCACCTACCACCCATCCTCCACCTAGCATCCATTTCACCCATCACCTACCACCCATCCTCCACCTAGCATCCTTTTCACCCATCACCTACCACCCATCCTCCACCTAGCATCCATTTCACCCATCACCTACCACACATCCTCCACCTAGCATCCTTTTCACCCATCACCTACCACACATCCTCCACCTAGCATCCTTTTCACCCATCACCTACCACACATCCTCCACCTAGCATCCTTTTCACCCATCACCTACCACACATCCTCCACCTAGCATCTATTTCACCCATCACCTATGACCCATCCTCCACCTAGCATCCTTTTCAACCATCACCTACCACCCATCCTCCACCTAGCATCCATTTCACCCACCCTCCAGCAGTCACCCACATTCCTGATATTTTATAGCATAATTTTAACAAATTTTATGCACAAAAAATGTATCCCATACTAAGGCATCATAGCATTGAAATGAATAAATTTAATTGAACATTATTATTTTGACTTGGTCATATTAATTCATTTCTATGTGCCACTTAAAGGTAGCAGCAGCTTTGTCTGTAATATTTCCCATATTTAGACTTTTTTATGAAGTTCATTAATCCAAACAAAGTCTGAAACATGTAAGAAGTGGTTTACTTCTGTGTGCCTTCTCTCCTTCCCTGCCGGCCAACACTTGCCATGCAGGCCGACCCTCACCAAGTCATAAGTGTGGATTACTGAGAAGGAAACGCACATGCAGTAGCAAAGCACCTTACAACCCCTTTCAGATTTTATTTGGAGAAATAAACTTGTACTTTTTGTTATGTTGTACTGGATTAAAAATGATTAGTCAGGGATTAGGAAAATGATAATAATAATTGTATGCGCACAGTGTAAATATTTCTATCATATGGCAGTCTTCTGTACAGTGATCATACATTAAAAATGTTCAGTAAATTTTTCTCTTAGACATTGGAGTGGTGCATTTCAATGTTATAGAGCTAAACATGTTAAATTGGTGAGTAGTAGTAGTGTAAGTTTTTTAGATTTTTAACATTACAATTTATATTTTTCCAAGCGCACAACAGTTTAAAGCAAAGTTTAGTTTGAAAAGAATGAGCAGGAAGGATTTAAAAGCATGTTAACACGGTAATGTAGGCTTGAGTTCATTATCTGACGCATGCAGATACACACCAGGAACCTGGAAACTTAAAAAATACTGAATTACAAAAAACATTTAAAAAAACAAACATGTTTCATTGATATATATACAAAAATGAATATTAGGAACTATATTTATCCAACATTATACTGGGCAAGTAAAAATTGTCTCTGGGCAAATGAAATGTAAAAGCCACTTGCCCTAAAAATCTTTAACGTCAACCCCTGATACATAACCCTGCATTTTTTTGAAGCAATGTAGTAATAACTCATGTCTAAATCTCTTATTTTGGAAAACCTGGATTAAAATACACAGAAATAAATCCTCACCAAAAACAAATATAAAAAACAAGACATATAAAAACATAAAACGATGAATCAATAAATAGGTAATTATAATAAAGATGAATCTGAACTGTCATGATCTTGGCGCTGATGGTTTGGTTTTTTCCTTTGCTCGTTGCTCAGCTGTCTAATTGATTATCACCGATCATTTCCACCTGGTTCCTCTGCTATTTATGTTGTGCGTTCGCCTCCCATCAGCGCCAGGTTATTTGTGTGTTTTGGTGAGACGTATCCTAGCAATCTTTAGTCTGTTTTCCTGATTATGACCAGTTTCTGCCCTGAGGATCTCCAGTTTTGCCTTGCCCCTGTCTGCTCTGTTTGTCTGACCTGGTCCTGGATTCTACCGGCTTCTGAACCTGGACCTGCTTTATGACTTCGGCCTTGGATTTTCTTTCTGGACTTGGTTGCTGCTCGGCGTCGTTCGTCGCCCTCTCTGCTTGCTCTCTAGGAACTCTGTGCTCGCTTGCGGTCAGACCTCCTGTCTGGATTCAGCTGTGTTCTCCGAACTTCTCCTGAGCTTTAATCAGGTCAGTGACTTTGCTCCAAGTCATATTCAGCACATCCAGTCACTGACCTGTATTCTCCTATCCCTGCAGAGATCCATCCTGCAGCAGACAAGCAGCCCCGCGCTCCTGTTAGCTTAAATAAACGCTTTGAACTTTCCCACTGTCTGTCTCGCCACAAATTCTGGGTCTAACATTCTGAGATCATTAAAAAAACAAGCTGATTAATATAGCCGTATGCATTCATTTTAGGGATGCACGATATTGGGATTTTGGCCGATATCCGATATGCCGATATTTTAAAACTCTCGTAGCCGATAACCGATATCGATACCGATGTTAAAGCTGGACAAAAATAAGTAGTCATTGAAAATAGCAGTTTTGTTATCCATTTCTGACACTTTGAAAAATAATAAACTCAAATATATTTTCATTTGCTGATATCAAATTGATTTTTAAAAACGCGGTATCGATCTATTTTACTTTCAAAATCTCGTGAAATTTAATCGTTCTGTTACAAACTCTCGTGTTATTTTGCAAATTCTTGTGAGATTTTGTTAGTAAAATAGATCGATACCGCGTCAATATATCAACATATAAAAATATGGCAACATTTGGTGAATTTTCGGGGGATTTCGTAGCATAACGATGACATATAGCAATATTTCATTAGTAAAAGAGATTGATATGGTGTTTTTAAATGGCAATATATCAGCATATGAAGATATTGGGATATTTTAATGTATCAATATTTTTTCCCTCGTCTTTAGAAGTTTTAAAGTCTGTAAAAAAGAAGTTTTTGAGGAAGAAGAAGAAGTAGTATTTTTTTATTTTTTTTTTTAGACTTTAGAAACTCAGAAGCTGATCAAATATCGGGTTAAATATCGGTGGGGTGGCCGATGTCCGATATTCAGTTTTAAGGCCGATACCGATAGGGGGGCCATTATATCCTGCATCCCTAATTCATTTCACATTTTTATTAAGCATTTGTTTTAGTTTTTTTTTATTTTGTCAGATTATGTCCTCCATAGAACTAAGATGCTGTCAGACTATTTTACCAATTCAAGAAGAAGGTGGTGTAATTGTAATGTAGCTTTGTTTTTAGCGGCTGCTAAATGCTAGGAGCACATTGAAACAGCTGGTTAAATGTACTAAGATGATAACTTAAGGGATTTATTGCTCTAATAAACATTAATAAACAATTAATCACATGTCAATTATTAATTTTAAATCCCTAAAAGTACTTTAAGGAGGATATTTGTACATTGATTGTGGCAAAAGTTAAAGGAATAGTACACCCAAAACATGATTAGCCTTCATTTTCTACTCACCCCCATGCTGAACAACACTCTGGAGTACTTTTTTGATATCTCAAATGCATCTGGAGATCTGGGAGGCTTCTTGCTGTCTGCTGACATTCAAATAATGGAGGTCTATGGCGCCCGAGGCAGAAAGGTCCATAAAAGTCCACAAAAAATGTGTCAATATTCCTCCATACTGCTCGTCCAATGTATTCCAAGTGTCCTGAGTGGGTAGCATCCAGAATTTACTCGAAACGAAGTCATTTAGAATGTTTTTAGAGCATAAACAGTAGTGTATAGGATTTCCTAAAAGCGCGCGCCTGCGAGTTCACGAGTCTACGGAAACCGCGGCAGACCAAACCAGACGAAAGTGCGCATTCAGCTCGGCAAAGAACTCATGCTCTTCCTCAACACTGAAGTCCTCAGACATTTTTCTTTCGTTGTTTCTTTCTTTGCACAGGTAAACAGCACATTTCTTCTTCTACGCTTGCATTATCGGCAGAGCAGATGCTGAATGCGCACTTTCATCTGGTTTGGTCTGCCGCGGTTTCCGTAGACTCGTGAACGAGCTTTTAGGAAGTCCTATACACTACTGTTTATGCTCTAAAAACATTCTAAATGACTTTGTTTCGAGTAAATTCTGGACGCTACCCACTCAGGACACTTGGAATACATTGGACGAGCAGTATGGAGGAATATTGACACGTTTTTTGTGGACTTTTATGGACCTTTCTGCCTCGGGCGCCATACACCTCCATTATTTGAATGTCAGCAGACAGCAAGAGGCCTCTCAGATCTCCAGATGCATTTGCGATATCAAAAAAGTACTCCAGAGTGTTGTTCAGCATGGGGGTGAGTAGAAAATGAAAGCTAATCATGTTTTGGGTGTACTATTCTTTTAAGTTTTAAAACAGCTTTTTGTAAAACAGGCTGATAGACTTACTGTTGTAGTAAGAGAACTGCAGATAGTTGAAGATAGAAGGCAGGAAGTCCTCAAAAGGACGCTCTCTGCCAGCTGCAGTGGCCAGCTCCACAGAGCAGTGCTGCTTGCAGTTCAGCAGCTGCAAGTAATGATCTGACAAAGACATGAATATATATATAACTCACAGCTGCAGTGACGTATTTAATATCTCTCTGACAGACGGCGTTGCCTCACCTGTCATGGCTTGAAACAGGTCTGCGCTGTACTCCATGTAAGAGTATCCATCAAACCGGTACCCCCCCTCACACAAAACCCTGCACTCCTTGTTGGCAACAAAGTACTCATCCAAGGCCCTCTCAAAGTGTTCGGCTGCCAATTGGAACGAGTCGTCACTATAGAAGCTTTTTCCCATCAGAAACTCAGCCTGAGAAAACAGGATGTATTAATGTTCTACCTTCATATATTTTTCTACCGCTTTAATTGAATGTGTGATTTAGCAAAGCGACTCGTATTGCTAAGATCAGAAAGGACGGAAACAGCGTCTCACCATATGTGGCTTCATTTCCAGATCTTTGAAGTTCTCCTCTTGTACTCTGGCCATCATCCTGTAGTACTCCAGGTTCTGCTTCATCTCTATATGATCAGGGTTGGCCTGGAAGAAGGTGTGTGCAGCTGCCACCGCCTTGTCCAGTTTATTGATCTTAAAAGAAATAAAACCTTTCAGTTTATTACAGCTGCCAGGCATTTTCTGTACAACTAGAATATAGTTTTCCACACTTTCACACTAATTATAGAAATTCAGATGATTTAATTTGCAAGAAGTAGGATCATCAATACTAAAACAGCTCTGAAAATATCAATCCTTCAGAGATTAAATTAACTCTTTCTCACCCTTGGAAATGTTTTATGTCGTATATTGATACATTATAAACAGCTTTGAGTTGCAAAACATTATATTTAAACGTTTTATTCATGCTTTTGTCATTATTGTTCCTGTTCCAAAATGACCCAATCACTTCAAATTGCAAAGAATCATGGGAAATCATGGGCAAACCTGAACCAGACTTCAAAGGCATTTAAAGGAATAGTACACCCAAAACATGATTAGCCTTCATTTTCTACTCACCCCCATGCTGAACAACACTCTGGAGTACTTTTTTGATATCTCAAATGCATCTGGAGATCTGGGAGGCTTCTTGCTGTCTGCTGACATTCAAATAATGGAGGTCTATGGCGCCCGAGGCAGAAAGGTCCATAAAAGTCCACAAAAAACGTGTCAATATTCCTCCATACTGCTCGTCCAATGTATTCCAAGTTTCCTGAGTGGGTAGCGTCCATAATTTACTCGAAACGAAGTCATTTAGAATGTTTTTAGAGCATAAACAGTAGTGTATAGGATTTCCTGAAAGCGCGTTCACGAGTCTACGGAAACCGTGGCAGACCAAACCAGACGAAAGTGTGCATTCAGCTCGGCAAAGAACTCATGCTCTTCCTCAACACTGAAGTCCTCAGACATTTTTCTTTCGTTGTTTCTTTCTTTGCACAGGTAAACAGCACATTTCTTCTTCTACGCTTGCATTATCGGCAGAGCAGACGCTGAATGCGCACTTTCATCTGGTTTGGTCTGCCGGCTTCCGTAGCGTCGTGAACTCGCAGGCGCGCGCTTTTAGGAAATCCTATACACTACTGTTTATGCTCTAAAAACATTCTAAATGACTTCGTTTCGAGTAAATTCTGGATGCTACCCACTCAGGACACTTGGAATACATTGGACGAGCAGTATGGAGGAATATTGACACATTTTTTGTGGACTTTTATGGACCTTTCTGCCTCGGGCGCCATAGACCTCCATTATTTGAATGTCAGCAGACAGCAAGAAGCCTCCCAGATCTCCAGATGCATTTGAGATATCAAAAAAGTACTCCAGAGTGTTGTTCAGCATGGGGGTGAGTAGAAAATGAAGGCTAATCATGTTTTGGGTGTACTATTCCTTTAAGGAGGCATTTTGCATTAGTCCTTAAGACAAAAACAACAGCATCAATTTTTTACTGTATAAAATAACAATGACAATAATACATTTTATTTAAAGCTACTTTCAGAACACTGAACAACAAACCATCAATAATACATAATGTTAGAAGCGGGACAGGCCCTCAGTAGAAATATGCAGTCTTTAAAAACTGGGTTTTTACACTTTAATGAGTTAAAGTGTCAGTTTTCTAAATACCAGAGAGGGAATTCCAGATTTTGGGAGCAGAGTAGGAGAAAGCTGTTCTCCCCATGGAGATGAGGTTGATTGGAGGCTCAGTAAGATGGATGGAAGGGGGGGGGGGGGGCAAGATTAAGGATTACCTTGAATGTGAGCATAAAGAACTGAATTCTGAAGTTGAGCTCCTGTAACACTGAGGTGATGTAAAAAAAAAATGAGGGCGTTTCTGTAATTAAACGAGCCGCTAAATTCTGAACCAACCGAACCCTATGGAGGGATTTTAGAGAAATACCAAAAAGAAGAGAGTTGCAGAAATCAATGCTGAAGGTGACAAGGCTATGGATGAGAACAGAGGCAGAGCGCATGAAAAGGATGAAGACAATGAATGTTTAGGGTTAGCTAGGTAATGTTATTTATGTGGGAGCGCTATTAACGATAACCCAGACTCCGGAATACACGGAAAGGGATAGATGCTGGAACTATCAACTGAGAAAGAGGAACTATAAATCGATAAAAGAGTTTTGATTCCTACAACAAAGATCTTTGTTCTGTTGCAATTAGCTTCAGGAGGGTTAGAGGTGAACCCGGCTTTGATTTCAGAAAGGCAAGAAGTGAGGGAAGGAATTTGGAGTTAGGCTTTCCAGATAAATAGAGCTGGGTGTCATCCACATACCAATAACAATGAATAATACCCGTAATACATACAGAGGTTATCAAGGGGCTGAAGTTGGATAAGAAAAAAGTAGGGGCCCTAAGAGAAGGGCCCCAAGGCATACCTGTTGTGACGGTTGGAATCAGAGCTGAAGGACTTCGAATTCCAGCTTACAAATCGGCTGCTCTGATTGGTTCAACTGGGACGTCCAGCAGACACAATTATATATATCCAACTCCAGCATCTGCTGCTTGTGAAATTTTGAGCAAAGTTTCTGAGGGGAATTTAGGGCCCACAATATGTCTTTTTTCAGTAAAGGCCATAAAATGTACGGCTGTTTGCATTGGTAGCTAAAAGCCTGGTCAAGCGGCTTTAAGGCGATCAAATCACACTAATTTTGTAATAGTTGATGATGAGCAAATGGTGGAGCACGCACTAGCTGTCCTCAGATTCATGTGGGACATTGTTTTGTTTAGCTGTGGGATTATCTGGCAGCTGATAAAAACTGGAGTCAATAGAAACGGCTAAAATGAGGAAAAACTTTATTTAGCAGTTTACTATCAAAAGACCAGCATGTTGGAAATCGCCTTGATGCCGTCCACCCGACCGTCTGCTGATGACAGCGAGTGTAACACCATCCGTTTTTCTTAGGTTGTTCACGACGTAACGTGTTCGTTTACGAAGCCTACTGCAGATACATCCTGTACATTTTCCTCACTGAGCTTTTATATGGAGGACCAGCTCTACCAGATTTAAAAATAAATACAGAAATAAATAAGCATACAATTATTTGCCCCAAAAATACAATAAGCAAGTAAATATAGGTAGAAATTAAATTATACAGTGAGACATAATTGTATATATCTCTTTTAATTGGTTTCTTTACTTATTCGCCTTAGTAAAAATTACCTTAATTATATATTGTCCTTTATAATCTTCAAATTTATTCATTTATTACTTATTCTTTAATTATCTATTTATGTGCATGTTATAAAATTTTACATTTTATTGTATGGTATGTATTTGCTGGCGTTCATTTTCAGAAATAAATCTCAAATGTCTTTTTCTTTTTCATTTTAATTAAGTAAAAGGATGAGCAGTGTTAAAGAAGAAAATGAAAATGCAAAAAGGATGATTGATTACTATTTTCATTTATGAGTCAAACAGCCACATTCTTAAAATGAAAAAGCATTTCTGAAAATGCTTTTTCATTTAAATTATGTTAACGATTTGCTTCCATAGAGTGAAGCCATGCGCGCGCATTGCAATCAGACCAAGCGCGCGCACAGATGAAGCCGAGCACGAGTTTTTAAAGTTGAGCGCGTGGCAGAGCGGTTTGTAGAGCGAGGTTATGGGAGTTTAAACGCCGCACATCGGTCCGCTTTAACCGGAACCTGCACGCTCAGTTCGGTCTCTGGTTCCAATTCCTGGTCGCTGTTTTTGAACCCGGTCCGTAAATCCGGCGTCAGATTGAGGAGGAGGCAGAATAGTTTCTGACGTGGCAGAGGAGGGGGGGTGGGGGTGAGTCCTGCCTCACCTCTGAATGGAAACAGAAAATCCAAATATCGACCTAAATGCTGATTTACCTTGAAATAAGCCACTTGGAGGTAGTTGTAGGGGCTCCTCCTCCGAAACTCCAGATCCACTTCCTCGCTGACTTGGTGCAGAGTTGGTGAACCAAGCTTCTCCAATTCACAGACATTTATACAGTCTGCGCGCTGCAGGACGGTCTGGAAAAAGCTTAAATCTTCCACAGATCCTGCCCCGGGGATGGGAACCTTCATGCCGACTGAAGGCTGGCTGAAGGCGGACTGGTTTGCGCAGCGCAGCCGACACTGCGCCTTAATGTTCCGGAGCGCATCTTTGTTCCTGATGGCTTTCTCCATGTTCAGGATGACTGCCAGCCAGTCCCCCTTATAGTAGGCTTCCACCGCCGCGTCAAAAAGGAAATCATAGGGGAGCAAAACTAAATCACTGCTCAGATTAGAGTCTGACCTGCAAACCTCCACAGAAAGACAGAGAAAGATCAGCGCTTTGAGAATTTCCATGATAAAATCTGAGAGCAGAAAAGCAGCAGCTGAAAGTAAAGGAATAGTGATGGAACATCTGGAACCTGGTCCCAAAGAAATAGTCACCCAAGTTTATCCGTCTGCATCCTGCAAGACCCGCCCACTGAAAGACACGCCTCCAAGCTCCGAGTTTTTCTACACAGCAAATATGGTAGCAAATATGGCAGGCCGTTTTGACATTTATTAGCTTGACTGAATCTGTTATCCTGATGTCAAAAATGTGTTTCTTCGTAGTCAAACTGAACATTTCTGATATCTAAAATGTAATTCTTACTAGTACAAATGATCCAGTCATGTGTACTGAGCTTTTAAATCCAGATATCCAACATAACATTCTTACTGTCTAAATTAAACATTCTTCCTATTTAAAAAATGGATGAAAAAATAAATAAATAAATAAATAAAAAATAAGAAAAAATATAAAAAAAGCTAAATAAAAAATAAAAAAAATCAACGAATTCTAATTCAGATCTCCATAAAAGAGTTACAGCTAATCGTAATTACAATTTCAGATATCATAATTTAACATTACAGATATTCAGAAATCCAATTCTTAAAATCGAAAATATATTTCTGCTACTTGAAATTTCATTACAGATATGAAGTACTTATTTTATGACTAGTTATATTAGAATTCTGGATATCTCAATTTCAATAATGCCTATCTAAAACTTAGTTTGATACTTTAAAAAGAATAATCAGGCTCCGTTTTGACATAAAATAGGCAGGCTGACTAGTCACATTTTAGCACTAAAGCATTTTACCTAGTCACCATTACAATATTCCTAGTCAGAACTATTTTAGATATCACTAAATCTTTATTCTTTTTAAGTGGCTGTTTTAACCGCGGGCGTAGGTTTGATTTCAGCTTTGGTAGGGACACTATTGGTCTTCAGTTCTATTCAGTTTATTTCTATAGCTCCAATTCACATCATGTCATCTCAGGTCACTTTCCAGTTCACCAGATCATCCAGTCAGATTGATTCAAAGTTTTCTATCTAAGGAAGACCAGCTGATTGCATCGACTCATTGACTCTTCAACAATCCCTCACACTAAGCATGCTTGTAGCGACAGTGGAGAGGAAAAACTCCCTTTGAACAGGAAGAAACCTCCAGCAGAACCAGGCTCAGTGTGAGCGGCCATCTACGGTGGCCGGGAAGTGCTAACCAACAATACAAAATCTGAAACACTTTTACAAATCTTGAAACAACTTTACATTTGAGAAAACACTTTTACAACTGACAAAATCTTGCGGAAAGGGGGGGACTGTCTTCAAAGCTTACCCGGAAGTGATAACCGGAGCGTTCATGATGAACCAAGATGGAAGCCAATCGAGTTGCTTTTTGCCCGTTCTGCGGCACTCATGAGCAGTTTAACACGGTTTTGTTTTTCCTGCGGTCGGTCTTTGGAGTTTTTAAATGGTACCCATCAGACGGAAGAACCGGATATGCTGCATCCCTCTCAGCGCTGCAGTCAGAGCAGCGGGACGTTTACCCTCAGCGTCCAGACTGCAAATGAAGCGCGCATGCGCCGGGATTGAAGGCGCAAATTGATCACAATAATTAAAATAGCCTGCGCTTTGTAAAGCGAAAAAAGTCGTAACATGCAACTTTTGTCAAAACAAATGAACATGTCACGGAACCACCATGTTTGTTTGGTTTTAAAGTGGGGAAACGTAACGTGAGTTTCTCAGGTAGCTCATCTGATGCTTTCCTTACCGTGTTAGTAGGTTACAGACAGTGATAAGGTTGGCTACTTATTTTACTTTTAATTTCATTTGAATTAGCTTAAGCAGCGTTTATATTTACTTTATAAATAAATTAACTTGCAAATTATGAGGGCAAGGCTTTTAAAGTTTAAATCTTCTGGCAAAGATAAAGTAAAGAAGATCCTGCAATTTATGGAAGTAAAGCAGAATAAAATCCAGCAGGATCAGTAATATGTCAATTAATTATCTGCCACATTCCCATGTAAATATCTGTCTTTGGAGGATGTGTTTTTTAGCACCCCTAGTTATTTTTATTCCAAATACAATTTATAATTTGAATCACGGGGCTATTTTTATCTCTATGGTTCAGTATTTTCTCAAGCAGCAACTTTAACTGCTATACTTTCCTGTCTTAAAAGGCAGAACTCCTCTAGTCTAAAAAAACCTCATTTGTTGAAATGGGGGGGCCTATTGTTTGAACCCCTTAGGGGCTTTAAAAACAAAAAAGTCTTTTTTTGCGCTTTATGAAACAAAGTAGCCTATATTTTGTGGATGTACAGCTACATTTCTCATGTAAGTTTGCGTAGTTTTAACACAAACATTTATTTTTCATATTGCACCGGTACAGTTAATGAGCAACCTGTACTTGTGTGCTTGTTTGTTCTGTCTAAAATGTTTATTTTGGAATGAAGAGGTTAATATAAAAAATATTTTTTGTCCGATTCATCGATTAATCGAAAAAATAATCGCCCGATTCATCGATTTTTAAAATAATCGTTAGTTGCAGCCCTACAGTGCACCCTACGCCATCAACACAATGACTTCTACTCTGGAGCAGCCAGCCAAAGGTATGGCTCATCCACAACAAACCAGAGGATTGAGTCCTGGTGGTCCATATTCAGAAAAGGAAGGCAGGTGATTTAATTAGGAGTAACAATTCAAACATGGATGTGCTTAGAATCACAACACAATTGTATCTATTTCCATAGGTCTCAGTTCTGGATGGAGCTATTTGCAGACCTTAGAGATGCCGGATACTTCAACGGGAGTCACGAGCATCAGTGTCTGCTCAGACATTGCTTTGGTGATGTTATACAGAGGGACCTAAATGAGTGCATCAAACTGTGGAACAGTCACAGGATACGCCCGTCCAGAACAGCATTTTACGGTACCCAATGAGCTCTATTACTTACCACACAGGTAATAAGTTTGGTGATAGCATTTATTTTCCATTTATCTTAAATTCAAATAAATAATATCTTGTTTTATAGGTTTGGCTCCAGAGATTGTGGATTTAAAGATTTAAAGTCACCTGACAACAGCTCCATATGGGGACCCATGCATGCAGGAATACTTGGACGTTGCCATGGAGACCAATGATTTACAGAAACCAGAAAACTGACAGTCTTCAACTAAACTACATCTGAAACTAAAAGAAATTCCTCAGCTATGAATTGAAAAAAGCTTTATTGTAATGTTGTTAAAACATTTACAAAAACTGACTGGAACATGTTTACAATTTGTAAGCCACAGCTGCAATTTTCAAAGTGGGAAATAAATGAAAAAAAAAAATGTTTTCAAAGAAAAATTGTCAAAATGTTGACTGGAGGAAAAAGCTATCCTCAAACACCATATTTTATATTTTTTAACAATAGGCTTTAACAAAACTCTTTGCTTTTAAGTCAATCAGTGAATAATAACGAACAAGTTTTTAGAGACTAAGCTCTAGGAGCTATCCAGTTCTGATATATAGGAAGCCAAATCCTGGGCTATTTTCAATTCCAAAGTCAAATTGTATGACTCCAGCATTGGTAGTTTCAGCAAGTTTGAACACGTGTTTGCCATTGGGAATGGAGAGTCTTCCAGGAACTCGATCTGCGGTGATGGTTCGAAGCCAGATGGGGGAAGTGACGTCAGCCCAGTTGCAAACATCAAAATGTTTTCCACAGACGCAGCAGTCTCACCTTCTGCAAATAAATAAATGTTCAGGTAAACAAGAGTAATATGGTTTTCCCAATAGATAAAAAAAAGCAAACCTTCACAATCGAGGAGATAGTCTGCCCAATAGGCCATGGTTTGATTTTCTTTGTTGCTCCCGGAAGGACTGAGCGTAGGTTTGAAGAGTCTCTCGAGTTCAAAGCAAGTAATTCGCTTTTCATTGTGGCACAGGACAGGGGTCAGCATAGTAGGGTGTTACTGTAGTGCATTCAGGAACTGAAGGGCTGAAAGACCATGTTTGAACGATGGGGTAATAAGGTAACTAATGAGGTAAAATATAACTGTTCCATTTAGATATTCAAAGAGGGGAACATCAGCAAAGTGATTGTGGCATATGATTCATCATGACATATGACATTTGGATGAGTATAACGTGGTTGTGAACATATGAACAGTTGATGGACAAACTCTCAGAAGGGAGGGTGTCTATCATCCTCTGCTGAGAAACTGCAATAACGCAGTGGATACTTTGAAATGTGCATAGGGTACCACTGTCTCCCATCAGGGGGGGATTGGCCTTGAAACTTGGGCAAATATTTTTGTCACTGTGTCTGTCTGAAAAGATATGCACATGACGTGCATTAATAAAAAACAAAACGCACAGGAGAAGAGAACAATAACATAAGTCTGTAACCCATAGTCTGCTACAATTACTTTCTTTTCTTCCACAGCAGCTACGTCTTAGACACCCTGCTGTCTGTAACATCTTCTGACAGGAAATGGGGTCCTGGACCTCCATGCACAACTGAAACTGCAATCATCTTTCCTGCAAGGAAGTATTCATCCTCCCTAACAGCTGTAAATAAATTCATATTGCAAAATTAAAACATACACGACACACTTTTAAGCCATTGAGGGGAATAATTTGCTTTGTAATAATTATCTAATCACTAGTTTAGCACATATCTAATCCTATGCATACCATTTGCATTGTAGACCAAGAAACAATGTCCTTCTGGTCCATCAAAAATGGGCTGGTCTTTCAAGTATTTCATCAGCAGAGATGGAAATTCCCGTCTTGGACATCCTGTATCAATTCCCTCCTCATAAACACCAGCATCATCAGTAAATCTGATCAGCATGTCGCAGCTTTTAGAAAATGCTGAATGCTTAAACCCTCTGACAGCTCCCTCCCAAACATCAGCCCTTGAGATGTTGAACCTGCTCACTCTCTTGTGATCAATAGAAAGTGACAGGTTTGCTACAATCTCAGGTAGTTTAGTGTGAATATATGTCATGCAAACACAACAAGTGCTTCTATTAAAGAATATATGTCAGGATTTGGTGTTGGATCGAGGACCCAAAAGCAGAGGCAGGTAGGCAGAGGTGAATTTAGGTGGGTTTAATGAGGTTCACAGGTACAGAGGCAGGAATCAAAAATCC